TCTGCACCTGCAGGCCCAACACGAAGCCCTGGACGGGGGACACGCGGGTGGCAGGGAATGCCCAGGTCCAGGGGCAGCAGTCGTCTCCTCAGGGTTTCCTCTAAGGCCCCATGAACCCAGAGCTGGAAAGCCTCGTCAGGATCCCCCCAGAGCTCACAGAAGCACCCCCCAGTCACCCCACACAACAGGCACTGCGGCTGCTCCCAAACCTCCAAGCCCAAGCAGGGTAGAGGCCCGGAGGCCCGGTCCTGGGAGGCTGGAGCCTCTGCGGGACTTCAGGAAATCTCCAGGAGAAGGTTGCCCTGTGCAGACTGGAGGCCTTGCCCCAGGGCCCCCATCCCCCCGGGTGGCAGGTGGAAGACCTGGGGGGGGGAGAGCACCGGGCTTGGGGTGAGGGTGCCTGAGGTCCCAGAAAGGAGGAGGGGAGGCCCAGCTGCCCCGGGGGCCTGGAGCTGAGGCCGAGGCCTGCTCTGCCCAGCCTGCCATCAGGTTGGCCTTGGCCACAGCCCTGGGGCCTTTGGGACGTGCTGCTGGTGCTGAAGCAGCCGCTCCTCGGGGCTGTTTCTCGAGTCGAGCTGCCGTTAGCTGTCTGCTGGGGACCTTCATCCTGGGGAGGCGGCAGGCTGAGCCACCCTGCACAGACAGCCCTGCCGTTACCAGGAGCCATCCTGGCCCCCGGAGGACCAGGAACGCCTTGCTTTTGGAGAATGCTCAGAGGTGTGCACGGCCTGTGCTGGGGACACCCTGGGCACCCCCTCCCTTCAAGGCTGCGCTGTCCATAATGACTTCGTGTTATGAGCAGAAGTTTCTCAGATTCTCAGAGGACAGGGCTGGGGCGGATGGTGCCCATGGTGTCCCCCAGCCTGGCATCTCTGGCCATCAGGGGGTGACTGACAGGCCTTGACCCTTCTCCTGGGGTCCCTGGAGAAGCCCCTGAGATTGTGGTACGGGGGAGTCGGGGAAGCCCAAAGCCTCCAAGCTGCTTTCCCAGGAACCCTGCAGCTTCCCACGGGCCTTGGCCCAGGCCCAGATGGTTTGTTGATTGAACAAACGAACGTGTCTATTAATATTCAGTCATTCGCGCCAGGGGATGCCGCAGTCCACTTGAGTCAATTCTCCAGATAATTGAAACCCCGTCGGTTCACAGCAACATTCTTTAGCAGCTTCTCCAACACAGGCAGACGCCCTCCTTCAGCAGAAGACACTCAACTGCTGATTACAGCAGGCCTGGGAGGCCACGAGAAGGGCTTTGGGGTTCCCCCAGCAAGCATCCCACAGGACTTGGGAGGAAACCATGGCTGAAGTCTAGGGTCGCCTGCCCTGGAGCTTGCCCCGGCCTCCAGCCACGTTCTCTGCCCCAGCGGCTGGCACAGCTGCAGACGCTGCCTGGGGCAGGTGGCCTCCACGCAGCCCATCCACGGCCGGCTGTCTCTGGGCTGTCACTGCCACCGTCTCTTAATTAGCAAAATAAACAGTGCGATGATAAATGTCACGATTTACTCAACAGATGATCAGAATCATTGTTCTGCAGACCCTCGGGCAATAAAATGCAATCATGGGGTGATTTATTCTGGGAGGGCGAACAGTGGGCTGCGTCACGGCGGGAAGGCGGCTGAGCCCGGTGCGTCAGGCGGCAGGGGAGTGGGAATTGGGGCGCCCTCCTGACAGAGCCCCCTAGGGAAAGAGCCCAGCGAGCGTTTCCAGGCACCCAAGCCCACACGGGCACAGCCCACCCGGTCCAGGCAGGGGCATCAGGCAGGGGGCGTGTTTCCTTCCAAAATGGCAAGAAGTCACGTCCTGGGGGCCCCAAAGCACCCCATGGGGTGGCCTAAAGTCACTGAATGTCCCTGATACATGTGTGGAGTTGGAAGGAGGAACAGCCTTCGAGGCCTAAGAAACAAGTGACCAGCGGAAGGAGAGGCTCGGCCGGGTCCCACATGCTGCTCAGCTGAAGGCAGGTCCCCTGGAGTGGGCTGTCCCTGCCCATGCGCAGGAGCCACTGCCCCCTGGGGGAGAGGAGAACTTTGTCTGGGTCTGAGTCACCCCCAAACCTCAGGTTGACTGGCCCTATGTGTCTTCATGGTGGCTCAGACTGGCCACCCCTCGGGGACACAAAACCATCCTGGTCCTCCTTAGCTGTCAGCTGTCATCTTTGCTAAAACGTGACTTATTCTTTTTCCGTAGATGAACACCGTGTTAACAACAGTGTACGGCGTGAGCGTGGACAGTCCTGTTTAAAGTCTGGACCATCGGGAGCCCAGCCCTGTGTGGCCTGGGCCTGCCGGGCTCCCCGGTGGGTGGTGCACTGGCCCAGTGACACAGCCCCATGACATCCACCTCCTCCGTCTGCAGGAACACAGGCCGGAGCAGCCCGCAGGTCAGGGCCACCTGGTGCCGAGCAGCTTGGGTGGCAGACGGGAGGCCCTCTGCTGCCAGAACCACAGAGGCCTGGGCGCTGGGTCCCAGATTTTCCGTCCGGGCTCGGAGGCCCTGCTGGCGGTGACGGAGAGATAAGGCACGCAGGCCAAGCAGGTCAGGGAAGTCCTGGGGAGGGACACCGCAGACCTCCAGAAAGACCGGGAGACCCTAAAGCGACAGCCACCACTCAGGACCACGTAGAGGGTGCTGGTCAGGCTGCCCGGAGGGGAGGGTGGCTCTCCCCGCCCGAGGCCCGGCTGAGACTGTGGAGCTAGAAAGAAAGCGCTTCCCTGTCCTCCTTGATCCCAGGGGACAGGGGCTCGCCCCGAGCTTCCCCGCGAGTCCCCAGGGGTCTCCCGTGCACCTCTGCCATTGGTACCAAATCCCAACGACACAGGGGACTGCGCGGTCACTGGTGGCAGGCGGGGAAGGCAGAGAGGGCCACCAAGCCGACGGGTGCCTGGGCCACTCGAAATCAAGGTCAGACGAGACAGCACAGGCGCATCTGGAGGCCCCGAGGACGGGGCTGAGGGCAGACTCTAAAATCTGGCACGACAAGAAGCTGTGGGGGCGCCGTGGGGGACAGGCTCTCAGCAGAAGGGGGGGCACAGTGGGGCAGGAACTCTCCCTCAGGTGCTCAGAGAACAAACAACACTGCAAAGTCAACAGGTGCCGGCGGGTGACAGGGACAGCCTGTGTGCCCTGCACCAAGAGCCACCGCGATACAGGCCATTTCTTCCAGTAAAGCAAACAGAACTTGTATCAAGGCAGACAAGAACAAAGTCACCTCAAGGTCATCCAAAGAGCTACCTGCAGGGTTCATTGACCCTCAAGCACCTGAAAGCCGCCTACTAATTAAACAGCTCAGGCCTTTTAAGTAGGTCAGACAAACCCCCGGAGTCCTCCCTGCACACAAGCCACGTCCAGTCCACAGCCCAAATGTCACCTGCCACATTATTTGGACCTGGCTCTCCTGGCCCTGAAGGACAAGCCTGTTGGCCACGCCGAGGCGTGCCACCCACCCACGTGGCTGTGACTCCAAGCTCCCTCCCCTCTGCCCACCTTGCTCCTGGCCCCTGGCCAGTTAGTCCCGAAGGTGACCTCCTGAGGAAGGCAGCAGCTGACCCCGGCCCCCCACGCCAGCTGGCTGGGTACACCTCCACCACCTTGGACCATTCCTCCACCCACCTGCTCAACCTGGCCCCCTCCTGCGACCCCAAAGCCCTCCAAGAGCTGATGCTTGGGCTGGCGGGCAGGTGTCCCTCGAGTCCACAACAGGGGGCCCCACGAGTCCCCATGCTAGCAGGGCCACGTCCTACTGCCTGCAGGACAGTGTGGAGACCCCTCCCTTGCCTCAGTTCTGGGGCCAGGGGGTAGCCACTAGCCACACCCCAGGCACGTTAGCACCCAGTTTTCCCTGATATCTTTAGAAAGGGCTTGGAGCGCTGCAGGCCCAGGGGAGAGCCTGGGGCCCTGAGGGTCCAGACGAGGGCACTGGGCGGGTGGTGTCTCTAGGGTACGTTTGGGAGCATTAAGGGCCATGAGAAAGAAAACCTTCAGGCCAAGAACGTCCCTCACCCTGCATAGACAGCTGAGGTGCAGGGCAGCCTGGGGAACTCTCCAAGCCCCTAGAGGGCAGGAGGGAGGGCCCAGCGGGCAGAGCCTGTCCACCTGACGCTCATCTTCCCGCACAGCCTCGGCCCCAGCATCTCTGCAGGTGGTAGATACCAGAAGGGACCTGGATTTGCAGCATCCCTAACGGAAACACCCCACAAACCAGGGTCAGCAGAAAGGCCAGGCCTTTGAGAAAGGGACACTGCAGCTCTTCAGTTCCCCTGAGACCATCTGAGAGCCCCCAAAAGTGTTCTTCTGAACCCTTAAGGGCTAGCAGGACATCTCCGGACACTCTGCCCCTGAGTAGCCCTGGCAAGGCCGTGGGAGGTGATCCACGCCGTCTCAGCAGACGCACCCTCTGTCTCTGACCCCCCGTGGCAGGTCAGGCGCTCGCGGGCACCAACACCATCAAGGCCAGCCGAGGCTTGGGAGGGAAATTTAAACAGCAGGACACCCTCCCTCCCTGGCTGGAAGAGGCCCTGAGACCTGAGAATCGGCCCCTGCAAGGACTGGGCAGCAGGCCCTTGGCATGGACATGCATGGCCGGCAGACATTTGGGGAGCTGCCCCCCGGCTGCCGGGGTGACGATGGAGCCCCAGAATCAAGACGGCTCCTCTGGGACAATCCATTCACGTCCCCTGCTCTGCCACGATGGCCCGTTAGCACCTACAATCTGGCGGGAGGCGCAGGATGTTTTAAGACATGAGCTCATGAAAGACACATTTCCGGGCGGAGAGCGCTGTAGCCTATTGGGGCTGACAGGCGTCCGCGAGGCCCGCTGATGTTTTCTGAGTCGCGTCATGAAAGCTGCAGGGTAAAATAACCCTGGGAAATGTGACATTCGAACGCTCTCTCTCTCCGACCCACCGAGCCTCCCGCCTCGGGCAGTGGCTGCTCCCGGCTTTATAAATAGATTGAACACAAGATAAATGGCCGTGATCAATCATGCTCAGGCTCAGAAGGCTCACCTCCCATCCAAAGTCGGCCTCCTTCAGCGCCGCCCGGGGCGCCGCCACGCAGGGGCCCAGCCTCTCGCCGACCTCCATCTTCCTCTTGGCCCAGATCCCCAGGCCGGCCCCCGGGATGGAGGACTCTCGCAGCTCGAAGTCTGGCGGGATCGGAATGTCTTCGGGAATGTAGACGGGAGCCTCGTAGGGCGAGCCCTCCTTGGGGGTGAAGTCCTCACTGGTGGGGAAGGGGGACGGTGGCCCCATGGGGATGGGAGACAGGATGCTGTCCTCGGTCTCCTCCTCAGCACTCTGGCCAGCCAGCAGGTCCGGGTCGGGCTCATACATATTATTTACAACGTCACCGTCACCTAAAGAGAGAAGGCAGTGTCAGCCTCCATGGCAAAGGGACCCCCAGGGTCATGGGCCCTTGGAGGAACCCAGGGCACCCAGAGCCCTCTGGGCCCTGGCCGCCTCCCGCTGCCCAGCTGATGCCACCTCTGCTCCCTCCTGAAGCAAGGAGTTAGTGGCTCTGGGGAGATCCGCCAGGCAGGCTCCTGTGGGGCCTGTGGTCCCCACAGCCCAGGGACGTGCTGACTGGTCCTGCCTCAGGGGAGCAGGGGAGGGACGCTGCCCCTCACAGGCCTCGGGACAGCCTAAGTGCAGTGGCCAACCCGGAGAGGACGGTGGAATGACCGCTGCAGAACCCTGGGGTTCTTGGGACCAGGAACTGGGCAGCGGAGGAGTCCTCAGTCTCGGAAGGACTCAAGATTTGGGTTCACATGCAGTTTGCTCAGATCTACTGCCCCAACAGGACGGCCACTCTAGGGGCTGACTGGGCACGGGTAAGGCCCAGGTCCACCCTCAGAGAGGGTCAGCGCCGCCTGGAGTGTGCAGAGGAGCCTGAGGCCCTGAGGGCAGGAGGAACCCAGGAGGGTGAGGCCGGGTGGGTGGGAGAGGAAGGAACCCCCTCCCTGCATCAGCCACCGAGAACAGGGACTTGGAATATTCCCAGCAGCCCACAGTAGACCCAGGCCAGACGCCGCGCAGCGGAGGGGCCGACGAACACCCTGTGGTCCATCTGTGTGAGGGGACGTGGTCCCTCCCAAGAAGGAGGGGAGCATGGACATGCTGCCTGTGCACTGACCTCAGTGGCCTCGCACACGGTGTCAGAGCAGGCCGCGCCCTCCAGAGCCGCTGTGAAACATGCAGCACGCGGCCGGTAAGGGAGGAGCTCCTGCCACGCAGCAGCTCTCCAGAACCCACTCCTCCTGTCGGCCATCGGTGCCCTCCCCCAGGCCCCGGCTACGCCGATCACCCTGATCTGGTCACTCCCCAATGTGGGCGCGTGAGGACCCATCACACTGTGTCCTGTAAATACGCACAATCACGATCTGTCCATTAAACTATTCCTAAATATCATGCCGAATTAAAGGAGCCAGGGGAGAGGAGCCGACCCCTGCACGTGTCGATCTACCAAGGGTCCAGGACAGACGGACCACGGGGCAGACGGACCGCTGCCTGCCAGGGCTGGGGAGAGACCACTCATGGGCGCGGGTGTCCTTTGGGCGAAGGTGGTGGCTGAGGGACATGGTGAATGCACCAAGTGCCCCCGAGTTGCTCACTTTGAAGTGGTGGCTTCCAAGTCACAAGAGTGTCACCTGGTAAAATGTCAGGAGAGAGCAGGCGGCAGAGGCCAGCGGCGGGAGACCTGGGGCTTGGCGCCTGCTGCCCATCTCTCCAGCCCGAGGCCACACCCTGCTCCGCGACGTCGCTGGTGAAGTGAACCCTCCGGGGACAAGAACTTTTAAGCATAAGAAAAACGATTCCGATTCCTCACGCTGGTTGCAAACAGATCCGCTGGAGAAGTAACAAAATGTTTTCTTTCAAAAGAAACCAAAGTCTCGGGAAAAAAAAAAAAATCATGCGGATAACACTTATTTAATTTAGCAGCATTCACAGAAGTAATGATTATGTTTTAAGTGGCCAACGGTTCCTTTTTAATTGGCTGGTAGGATCCTTTCAGAAATTCAGCAACAGAACTACGGCCCTTGTTCCCTCCTCCCGAAGGCCCGACGCTGTTGAGGTTTGAAAGAACACCCCCGTAAACCTTCCCGTTGACTGTGTGCGGCATAAAGGTAAATTAGAAGTGGGGGTCATTAACATGCCACCTTATGATTTGGAACTGGTAACTGCGCAGAGCTCACAAACAAAGTCGCCTTGGAAGCCCACGTTCCCCGCGCTCTGTTCCTTAACTCCTTCGGGAGGGGCTGCCTCTGCCCCCCGGCGCGGCCGGGAAGCACCGGCTCCTCGGGGTGCTCCGAGGGTGCCCCACGCGGGGGAGGCCGCGTTAAGTGCGTGTGCGTCTTGGGGGCCCTTGGTGAATTCCATTTTCTGCGTGAATTCGGCTTGCCTGACCCCCTCACCCCTGGGAGGAAATCCGCGCCTCGCGGGCATGCCGAATTCCCGGGTGGGAACCGTGCGGGAGAGAGGGGGACTGTCCCCTGCTGCTGAGAGGCAGGTCTGTGCACCAGCTGGCCTCCTGTCCCTGCTGGTCACCGGGGTTAAGTGATCGCCTGCAGCCACCAAGAAGAGCCCAGGTCTCCATTTCGCGAGCCCCGCTGCTGAGGGGAGAACTCCTCGTGGAGGCCCAATCAGGGCACAGAAAACATTGTGAGAAAATAAGGAAGGGGTCAGGGGCAGCCCGAAGGCCCTGGAGAGAACACAGGCCTGTGGCTGACCCAGGGGCCCTCAGAGCCAAGCACAGACGGCCCTACTCTCGGGGGGGCCCGGGACAACCCGAGGCTGGGATTTAAAAGTCAGCTCTCCCCGGCCACCAGGGCCAGCCAGGATGCCCTCTGAGATGGTCAGCCCAGGCAGGGAGCTGCCGGGCCCCTCTTGCCATTCCTGAGGCCAACGTTGCTTCACCCAGGCCTCCATGACAGTGGGCACGAGTCGGGCTGCTGGTCCCTGACAAGTTGGAACTGGTGCCAAGAACCCAAGCTCATGGTGACGTGGGCGGTGAACCTGTGTGCCATCAGCTCTCGGAGAGGCCTGGATTCTTTGTTTGGGTTTTGTGGTGGCCTCACACCAGGGCTTTTGACTGGGGCCATCATTCCCAGATTCATTTTGGGGAAATCTACCAAAACAATGAAAGCCAGGAGGAGAGGGTTCAGGGAGGTACAGGTGGAGGGGACCCTGCCCAGGCCTGGTCACCCACGAGCCCAGCAACCCAATCATAGCCAAGGCTACACACTCTCCAAGAGGTGCCTGCCGGAACCACTGGGTGCCCACTGGGCCTGCTCCTGGAGAACCTCATGCAAGAAAGACTGTGTGTGACTCACGCGGGTCAGCTGTGGACCTGCTGGGTTGTCCAGGTCCGAGGACAGAGGACCCAGCTGCCCCTGGAAGGAGGCACCGGCTGGGAGCCACTGTGTCCTCAGGCCTCTCCGTGCCCAGCTCCCGCCCAGCCTTTGGTGTAGGGCTGGCCCCAGGTTCACAGAGGGAGCCTTCTGTCCCCTCTCACCCAGTGTGGTGACTACTCCCTGAGCCAAGCCACCCCACCATCTCCCAGAGACCCCCACGGAGAAAGCAAACCCACGGCAGGATTCTGGGGTGTGGAGAGACGTGTTGGGGAGACCAGAATGAGGACCTCGGTGTAAGACACAGGGCAGGGTCTGAACAGCTGGCGGGCCTCCTCGCTGCCCACAACCCCCTGGCCCCGTGGTAGGAAGGCGGTCACCAGCCTCTCTCCTGGAACCCGAGCTCCTGGCTGTTATCACCTGGAGGAGAGGATGGGAGACTCCATGGGAGGCCAGGAGTCTGGGGGACCTTCACCATTGGGTGTCCTCGCAGGCTGGGCTGTGAGTGGACATGAGCTCTGAGGGCTGCAGGGGAGGGTGAGGGCCTGAGCGCCAGTGGAGAGTGGGCTTCACGCGGGCGTGGTCACAGGAGTGTGTGTACGAGGGTGGTAGAGTGTGTGGAGGGGCGGGTCTGCCGCGTGTGTGGGCAGAGGGCCTCCAGGAACCCAGAAAGTCTGCCGGCACCGTCACAGGCCTGCACAGGGGCTGTGGGGAGGGGGGGCCCCTAGAGAGGACGGGAGAGAGAGCTGTGCCCGGGCAGCCCCCCACACTGTGCCCAGCAAGGCCCTGTGGGGGTCCCTGGGGACACATGGATGCGACCCCCGGCTACCCCAGCAGTCTCAGCCCTGCTGGCCCCCACTCTTCGGAGGGCCCGCAGCCTGAGCCAGCAGCTCCCTCCCAGAGCTCACCACGCTCCCGCAACGCCCCCGACTCTTCATGGGAGAGCCCCACCCTATTTGTCCCCATCACCGGGCACAGCCTGCCCCGGCCCAGGAGGCCACATGCCCCTGCCAGCCCACCAGACCCGGTTCCTGAGCATCCAGAGCCCCACCCTTGGTGCCATGGCTGGGTGGGTGCCGACGGCATCTGCAAGTCCACCCTCCCAGCAGGAAGTCCGGCCAGCAGACAGCGGCTGCCCGATGGCTCAGTGGCCACAGGCAGGTGTGGTGCCCGAGGCTCCTCAACACAGGGTGGGAGTGACTTTTGGGGAGGAAGGGGCTCCCTGAGGACAGGCCCCCCTTGCACCTGGGGCCGCAGGGTTAGACAGGCCTAGGTGGTGCTGGGGGTGCACAGA